TTGAAAATGGGCCAGGAGTAACCGACAAGCGTGTAAGCGTAGATATATGGATGTAAAGGAGGCGATAGAGATGTGTTAGGATCGTGCCAAATGGAAGTCAGTGGTCTCAGTCTACCCCTTTGGGTGACCGGCGTGAATGTTTATGTACTTTACTTTTAGGGGAAACATATAGTACAGATACAGTACAGTACAGTATGAAACAAATAAAAGTAATCCAAAAACCAATGAAGTTTCCACAGATATGAAATAAATAGTAAATGCTTGCCTCCACAATATTATGTAATTATGTTGTATAATTTTTTTTAAATATATAATAAGAAAAGAAAAATAACTAAACGGTATTTATAATTAAACATGAAGTGCTTAAGCAGTTAAAAGAATTATTACACATACAACCTATAGTGATACTACTAATTATAAGTTTAGTTTTCCAATATTTTTCGTAAGTATTATATTTAAGGTAATAGATATCTAATTCACAATATAGTACAATAAAGTATTATGTACATATACTTGTTCCGTGCGGGATTTGAACCCGTGGAACCCGTTGCAACTAGCTAAGCCACTGCTCCACGGAGTCGTTGAATCCTATTATACCGAGTATCTATGTTATATCTATATCGCGTAGATTAATTGTTTTTTTTTCTGATATGTACAACTTAACCCTGACTTAGTTTCTACAAAAGCATAATTCACCTCACTTGCAAAGTTCATGATCACTACAGTGATATGAGAACAAGTTTGTATTTTATTAAATAATTTGTGTGTCCTAGACCTCGAGATCCCACCTTATAAAGGCATTTGTTTATACGTTCTTAAGAATTTGTGGTTTCATGGCAGTATTCTTATATTCTGCGCTGGTCTGCCTTCTGGTCTCTCACAGAACAACAGCGTAAAAAAGCAGCTTAACGCTTCTGCGTTTCACCAAACGAATGTAGAGAACCGGAGACGTTTTTCTGGAAACGAGGCATTCCATCTTAGTCCTCACGGGTGACCACGCATCATTTTGATTTGTATTTGAGGATAGATGTAGATGTCTTTGGGCAACAGCAACCAATTATCATCAAGTGGACTGTGTGCTCTCTTATAAAAAAAGTCTAGTGGTTGCAAACGCGACTGCTGATTATGAGATCCCGGTTTATAATCCAGAATTTCTCAATAGCTGCCCGTAGTAAGGAATTTTGCGGGGTGTCTCAACCCCGAGCATCGGGTAAGACGTAGAGCCGTTCGTCCCGCGCCTGATCTCTCTCCGGTGGTGTCGGTTTACCCTCCCATCGGACTATAAGACAGACGTGCACTATATCCTGCCCTTTTTTTTTTTTTTTTTTGAGGGGCGACCCCATGGTGTTCCACCTTTGTCGCATATTGGCAGGGCTACGGGAACGCTTTCGCACACATCCGCGGCCCTACTAGCGCCTGCCGCCCCATGGCAGCACCTCCTCGGGAGAGGAAAATTCCTCCCCGTTCTCCTTCCCAGGTAAGGCGCACCAGAACACATGGCGCGCCTTCCTCCACGGCCTCCAACTACGTCTGTGCAACAGACGCCCCCGCGTCGGATGCACAAAGGCCATGGGGCCAGGAAAAACGAGCACTTAGAAGTACTAGCCTTCCCGACCCCAGCGGCGGATCTGGTCTATGGCTCCGCCGCCAACCAAGATTCGGCTGCGGAGGGTAGGGAGAGCGGCGCCTCGCAATACCGACAATCCTCTCCCCCCGCAGCCCCACCACCACCGCATCGACGGTGCGGCCCCGTTTGAGTCGCGAAGGATAGGGCGAGTGGCGCATCGCCATACCAACACTCCTCTTCCTCCGCGACTCCACCTCGGCTGCAGCGGTAGAGGGTGCGCGAGTCCCCACTCGCTGCAGTCCACCAGCACACATCCGAAGTGGGCTCCCGAAGCCCACTCGGAGCGGCCACCTCAGGCCGGCCCTTCACCTCGGGCCAGCCACGTGGGTTCCTCTTGGTTCACCGTGGGAGACCAAGCCACGGCTACTAAGCCCCCCCGCCACGACAAGGCGGGAACCCGTTCGGGGGGGACTATATCCTGCCCTGGGCAGACGGCTAGTCTTCGTTGAGACTAGCCGCCGTGAACTAAATTCGGTCTGGGAGACATTATTTTACGAAGACCTAGCCTAGCCTATAGCTGGAAAAGACTGGAACTAGCCTATAACTGGATCCTCGCTTTCAAAGCCTACACTTTTTTAACCGTTCTTAGAAAAATGGCATAAAATAGCAGCTTAATGCTTCTATTTTCTGTATGGTGAGTGTAGGGAAGTAGGAACACATTTTACTTGTAACATGGCCTTCAATTTTAATTTAATATTTTAATATAATATTAAATTAGTTCTGAGGGGTAATAGACTCACAGTCCAGCTAATGGTAAGTAGATTCTGTGGCTCATAGACATCTACATCTATCCATGATTAATATGTGACGGCGCTGTCGTCACCCCACAAGCAAAACACATTGAAGCCTAAATCGCACTATCAAAGTTCCGGAGTAAAAACAGTATAATATACAGAATAGCTCTGAACTATCACTCGGGGCGTTGGCCATAAAATGCACATGCGTTATCACCCCGTTGACTAAATTGAAATGCCTCTTTTCCAGTAAAAAGGGTCTCCGGTTCTTTACATCCGCCATAAGAAACACAGTTAAGCTGCTACTTTACGTTGACATTCTGTGAGAGCGTGGTCCTTTCCCGGTCGAGACGACCCGTAACTACTACTTATAAATGCCTATAAGACACCTACATACATTGATTCTCCACTAATGATTAAAATGCAGATGTGTTCCCGTCTTTAACTAAGCTGGGAATACCTATTTATTTGAATTTTCTACTTTTAGTAGTGCCTTAAGTTTTAATCGATTTTACATCTCAGGTTAAATTAGATTTTAAAGATAATTATTTGGCTATAAAAACTGACGTCATTACACTGTATTCTAACACAATGTACGTAGGAATGCTGTTTACAATAAATAAAAAATATTTCAATCGGTTAGTGTTAAATACCTAATTGACTGATAATTTACGACCATTGTTTTATTGTGCATGCATTGTTTTATTGGAAAAACCGACGGCAATAACAAATTATGTACATAGCCTACACTTTTTACTTCTACTTTGTACTTTCTTAAGGCGACACCGCGAAAAAATTCACCTCCTTTCATCGAATAGTATAGGACCATGACATCACTAACAAAAGTGGAATTTTGATATAGGTAAATTCATGTCTTTATCTTGAATTTGCTTGTTCAAAAACACGATTGTATAATTTTGACTTGATCGTAATTATTTGCGAAAACACCTCTAAAAATCACTATAGTTGAAATTACAACGAAATTAATTAATATATATGCTTGGGAATCACTCTTTCGTCGTTCTTTTTTTCTATAGAATAATTGTGATAAAGCAGCATACAGTCCACCTGATGGTAAGTGGATGTTGTGGCCCATAGACATCTACATTTATCCTCGATTCACAATCAAAATGCTGATGCGTTGTCACCAATGAGGACTGAGGTGGAACGCATGGCTTCCAGTAAAAAATGGTCTCAGCACTCACCATACGAATTACATCACCATTAAACTGTTATAATATGCTGGTATACTGTGAGGGGTGGTCCTACCGAGGGTGGTCCTACCGCGGTCTACCCTTACCATCAGGTGGACTGTGCGCTCGTTTGTCACCCTTATTATTCTATAAAAAATAACTAGGAGGTTATAATATAAATAATAAATTTTGTTGAATCAAAATACTTACATAACTCTAAAAATAAAAATATTTTTTTTTTGCATGTGGGGCGTCCGGTTTCTTTGAATGAAAATGTTTTCGTTTGGGATGGGTGTTGTGTGAGAGAAGGGGGGGGCTCTAAGGTGTTTGGGGTGGTGTTGGGTTTTTTAATGGGGTTTGGGGGGTCCCCCCGTAAATGTAAGGAAAATTAAAATATTATTATGCTAGGAGATTTTAATGGAATGGTTGTGCTGAGGAGGCTTGGTTATGAAAGGATATTGGGAACGTTTGGTGATGAAAGTATAAATGAGAATGGTGAAAGCCTCCTTACCGTATGTATGGAAAAGAATCTTTTTGTGACGAACACTTGCTTTCGCTACAAGAGGAATTCACACGTATACTTGGGAAAGAGGTGATGATAGAAGCATGATAGATTTCATAATTGTGGATGAAAGAATGAGGGGCGCAGTGGTAGATACAAGGGTTTACCGGGGGTCTAACGTAGGAACGGATCATTATTTGGTTTTATGCCGAATTAATGGTCTATTCAGGCGTTGGCGCCATCGGTCATCTGTGTCTACCACTGCGCTACAGCGTATTAGAACTGAAAGGTTACAGGAGGAAGGTGAGAAAAACAAGTTCAAATGTAGACTGAAAGAAAATATAAGTGGTTTGGATGAATTATGTACGATTATGAATGAGTTAGACTTGGAGAATGTATGGCAAAATGTTAAGAAAGGTTTAGTGGATGCAGCTACCGAAGTATGTGGTGTTAGTAAGAGAAAGAATGAAAGGAAAAATAATACGTTATGGTGGGACGATGAGATACATATGGAAGTTGAAGCAAAGAAGAGAGCATGGTTAGATTTACTGGCAACAAAGGCTGGTAATTCTAGCGGTACGAATGATGATATTGAGATAAAAAAGGCGGTCTTTAGACATCTTAATAAGAGAGTAAAAGATTGAGAGAGATGTGCCTTCCCTTGGAACACATACAGCATTCAAAAACTCATCCGCTTGCTTAAACCAAAACAACTTTGGAACATAAATATCATCTGTGGAACAACCGTTTTTGGTCGATCGTTTTATTTTCGCTAATTCACAAGTATAACGGGTACGTATACTTTTAATTTTTCATTTTATGTCTTCTTCGGTTACACCGCTAATGTTCAAATCTTCAATTAGCGATTTAATAGCATTTCCACGACAATCTCGGTTTTTATAACCCTCCGTTTTATAATTCCATAGACACTTATACTTTTTAAAATGTTCCAAGAACAGAGGCGTGTGTTCTTCCTTCCATTTGAAAACCATTTCGTAGGTATGTAGTAGGTAGGTACGTATTGTCCAAAAATACGCCTTTCCTCGACACTGCGGCGCGCACGACTGACTGTAAAAGTGAATCATTCAATTCTTGTGATTCATTTCTCATTCATCCGCGTTGAATATTAAACGCTAAAAGTGAAAATATTTAGCATGTTCAATTCTTTCCACGCCGTAGAACGACAACATTCAATGACATTGAATGATTCACTTATAAATTTACATGGATCAATTTGGTTGCTTCATCCAAATTGAAAGACAAAAGTGAACCGTGTAATTTCACCTTAAAGCCACCATTCACTTCTGTCTGTTTAACCAACCAGTCGGTGTATTGACGACGCTTGAATTGGTAAGTAGGCTTTAGCTCTTGAGTCAATTGAACCTTGTGTGCGTGTGAATTTAAATCTTTATTCAAAATTCGCATCAGTGATGTTCGTGAGATGTTCAATTGTTAGGCACGACGACGAGTCGAGATTGACGGCACTTCTGCCACACTATCGCGAACAATGTTTTCCGCAAAACGAACTTAAGTTGTTAATGTGTAATTAACTTGGGCAAAAAACTTGACATTAAGGTGCGACTCACAATTAACGAAATTGAACTTCAAGTATGTCTCAGAATCATTAAAAATATGGACCATCGGATAGAAGTGTGCCACCGAAGCCGTGGCGAGCATTTGTCTGATATTTTGTTTCACACATGACTGTCATAGATCCTTCTGTCATAATAAAAAATATTAAGATAAGTCTCTGAAAACTTTTTGTTTTATTTACAATTAACATCGTGCGTATATATTGCACCAACCTATATATTGCACGCCTCATAATGCGAAGCGTTGTTAGGTAGTGCTTTACTCGACATGTAAAGGTCAAGCAATTTTTGTTCTTAAAATGCCTCTATCATAACCATATTGCACTTATGTCGCCTCTACACGTTGGCCAACACAGTGGCGAATGTAGTGGCGAATGTGTGGCATATATGCCGAGAGTTGGTGACGGCGTCCACACGTTGGAAGGTCGTTCAGTTTACTTCGGTTCGGGCCAATGTGCGGACGAATTTATTTTATTTTAGACGACGGCTCCGTGGCGTAGTGGTTTGGCAATGAGTGGTTGTGCCAGGGGTCGCGGGTTTGAATCCCGCACGGTACAAATATTTGTATATCCTACAAATAATTGTTTCGTGTCTGGATGTGTGTTCTTGTGCAATTTATGTTTGTAAGTTGCCTCCGCGATACAGGAGAAAATCCAAGTGTAGGGGGTAACGTTTTTATAAAATAATTACAAGAGTATAGTGAATATTAATGGGAATGTAAATAGATATACGATTAGCTTTATTTATTCTTTACATGCATCAGAAACTGGAATAAATACCATTAATTAGAAATTAACTTATTTTAAAGTTATAGGAGTTATAATCGATTAGTCTATGTTTTAAAATTGGGGTTTGTTTTTAAAGTTTAGCAAAACATATACTTGCTTTTCTATCAGACATTTGATGTATATAAAAAGCACCTTATAATTTATTTGGTAATTTAATTATTTTTTGGGAAATACAAAAACAATAGCAATAAATATAATTAACACTGCCTTAATAATAGGTACTAATTATAACTTAGAACATAAATGAAAAACTCATGACAAGGAAAGTGGCTCAGGAACATGCTTTGCGGCATTCTTTGGAGGAGGATGTTCAGTAGTGGACTTGTGAAGAGCTGTAATGGTGATGATGATTCCAAAACTTGAGATAGAAACGGTTTTTATAGATAGGGTGACAAACTAGCACACAGTTATGATGGTAAGTGGTTGGCAGAACCCTCGGAATAAAATGCAGATGCGTTGTCACCCGTGACGACTAAGATGAAATGCCTCGATTCCTTTAAAAAGTGTCTCTGGTTCTCTACACTCACTATACGAAACACAGCATCATTATGCTACTATTTTACATTGATATTCTGTGAGAGCGTGGTACTTCCCCGGTCGAACCGACCCATTCGTGCTACAACTATACTTATATACTTCTAATATAGGTAACTGCATGGTTCTACCACGTATAAACGACGTGCTTCATTTTTTTTTCATTATTCTTAAAATTGTTCTCGTAATAATCTGATTGTAAATAAATGTTAATTTTTTTATAAATAGCTTATCGATTAAAACAAATGTTTAAAAATAATTAAATCGCGCTAATTAAAGTAGTAGGAATGTTTAAAGTTGAAATTGGCACTAAAAGGCTGGTAATTGGGTCATCCACCCTACAAAGCGTGTATATAAAATTTTAATCCGGATGCGTGTAATCACTCTGGGAGCTTGTAGCAAACTAAACTCGCGGCCAACGTGTGGACGCGGCGACCAAACTCTGCCAACAATCCTTTGATCTTTTGTAAAAAACCGACACCACACGGATCTCGTGCCAACTTGCGGGCCATCGTTCCAATACATACCAATGAAGCCCAAACTCCCCGTCTACACGTTGGCCAATGCTATTGGCCACTACATTCGCCACTGTGTTGGCCAACGTGTAGAGGCGCCGTTATACGATTATATGAGTAGCCGTATATCAAGGAAACACTAAAAAATCATTTTGTATTACTACTTTGAAAAAAAAACCGACTTGAAAAAATTTTTACGTGGACGTCCAGTATTGTTTTTGTGGATGTCCAGATGTTGGTAACGATAACTCCCGAAAAAATTGACGGGTTTTTTATTAGCTTCAGATTTACATCAACTGATTCCAAATTTCATATCAATAGCCCAGAACGCGCATTTTGTAATTATAATGATTTTCAACTTTTATTATTGCTACTAAAAATTTAAAGGCGCTTTCGTATTTTATTTTAGCCCTTAATAGACAAATGAAAAATGTACCATACAGCCTATATCGATTTTATACTTTGTGTTATCGATTTATTTTGGTAAACATTATTAACTTTTTCCCTGTAAGTGACACTACTTGTTTAAATAATATATTATAAAAGTCAGGAATATAATTTTGTTTTCAATCCAAATTAAATGAAACGGTCATGAGGCGTGCTCGTTTGGATTTTCCAAATATTTTTTTCCTTTTACCCTGCGATAGACGTTCTTACTAAAGCTGTTGAGTAGTCTCGGCCTATCTACTGAGTTGCAGGTCCTAAGTATGAACGTCAGGTACAGTGCGATTGTATATCTCGGAAAGTAGTATTTCTATTAATAATGGACGAACGACGAATACGAATTACGCTTGCGGCCACTAGACCATCGCGGTGCAGTGATAATGGGGCAGTAGTCAGGCGCTGGCTTGTAATAAATTTAAAAATAAAAACTATATAACTATAAATTTAAAAATAAAATTGATATAGTCACGCAAATATAACTCGCTAACTCGATAATTACCTGTTTATGTAAATTATATTCTTGAATGTAATGAGGCAAAGGAAATGTTAGTCATTATGCCTTCACGATTATAGAAAATTATACGATGTGATTACATTTTCAAAGAAATTTGTTTAGTATTCTGTTTTTATAGTTCCGTTACAGGAAATACTGTCAACCGCATTAAGTTTGACCTTAGTGTTGGAAGGTTTAAATTTGAATAAAACGGAACCTAAATAAATAAATATATAAAAAGATAAAAGTAAAAGTTACAGCCTATATACGAGCACGTCCCACAACTGGGCCACGGGTCTCCTCCTCTCGTTTTTGACATGGCCTATTTTTTATAGAATAACGGTGACAAACTAGAACATAGTCTACCTGATGGTAAGTGGATGCTGTGGCCCATGGGCATATACATTATTCATTGTATTCCTCGGAGTGAATATTGAATATTATAAGTGGTTGGTGTTATATTGTAAGCGGTTGCTAGGACCCATAGACACCTACATATATACTCCATAACGAATCAAAATGCAGATGCGTTGTCATCCTTGAGGACTAACACAGAATGCCTCGTTCCCAGTTAAAATGGTCTCAGTTTCTCTACAATAGCTATGCAAAACACAGCAGCATTAAACTGCTATTTTACGCTGGTATTCTGTGAGGGCGTGGTCCTTCTCCGGCCTAGTCGATCCATTCGTGATACCATAATATATGTATCTGCAGCATGGCTCTACCTGGGACCGGGAACCGGGAACATGTTACGGCCGGTACGCCCCCCACCCCTCGCATTCGCGTAAATCTAAGAAATCATTCTAATTCATGAAACCTTCGTCCAACAGATGCGTGCGCAAACGCTGCAGCCCTCAGGCTGCTCGAAGCGGCGAGGACCGGCGACGTGGAGACCGCGCGCGCTATATTGGACGCGAGACCGAGGCTGGTGAACTGCAGGGATGTCGACGGCCGCCACTCTACACCGCTGCATTTTGCCGCTGGGTAAATAGAAAACGTATTACTATAGTAGTAAAGTTTCTTTTTTTTTTTCTAGAAGTTCGCTTGGGTAGTTCACAGGTACATTAACTATTCCCTCACTCTAATAGTTCGATCGGATAATTATCCGAAACAACCGAAGTGAGATTAGGCGTAGGACTATTAAAATATATATTACAAATATAAATTAAAATAATTTATTTTTGTAATATATATTTCCTTCGGCGGTTAACAACGTGCCTGTGTGGTGTGCCATGCTTTAATTGTAGGACATTCATTGGTGTACTCTGATCACCATGAATGAAAATCAAATTTCGGAAGAGGAGGTGATGAATTCTATTCTAATTGAAAACAATGAACAGGAAACGGAGATTTGTTTACTAGAGAAATCCGCTCAATGTCAAGCAATGATTTACGATGAGGTTAGACCTATTAGTGGTAAGAGACGCAGAGAAGAGGATGAGCAAGAAAGGTGGATTACGGTTTCAAGAAATGGCAAGAGAGTGGATTACGGTTTCAAGAAATGGGAAGAGAGTGGGACAGAAAGTTGATGTATATATTAATTGCTTCGAAAAATTACCTAAACAGTTTGCACTTGCAAAACTTTTAAAAACCAATAATATTAAGCATATCAACCGTGTGAAATATGTGCAAAACTTTTAAAAACCAATAATATTAAGCATATCAACCGTGTGAAATATGTGAATGCGTATAAAGTATTTGTGCAGTTTGAATGTGCAGAAAGTGCTGATGAGCTGATGAACTGTACACCTTTGAAGGAGTTAGGATGGAGATTTCAAAAGCCATTAGAGGTTGCTTTCTCATACGGTGTCATTAAGGATATTGAGCTGGAGATGACCGAAAAAGAAATGCTGGAGGTAATTTCAAGTGATTGCAATCTGATAGGTGTAAAACGCTTAAAGCACAGAAAAACGGATGGAAAGGGATGGAAAGATAGTGGATCAATACGGTTGCAATTTAAGGGCTCGTCGTTGCCAGCATCAGTATACATTTACGGCATGAAGATTAACGTCGACCCCTATATCTTCCCAGTCACTCAATGTTCAAAGTGTTGGAGGTTCGGTCATAGCCTACGTGTTTGCCCCTCTAAAAATATTGTATGCCCTAAGTATGAAAAGGGCCTTGCTAATTGTGAGATCACAACATTTAGATGTATTAACTATATCGGGAGTCACATGTCGTTGGATAGATCTTTTCCTATATTTATAAATGAAAAGCGTCTAAGGAGTTTAATGGCTGAATTCAATTGCTCATATAAAAAGGGCTTACAAATATATATTCCTCCAGAACCTCAACCTGTACAAGTAGAACAAGAAACAACTATTTTAAAGACGGCTCAAGCTCTCAACCCAAATACACCTTTATATAATAATATGCCTGAACCCATACCTGTGTCCTCTATCTCACAAAATGAAGATGGGGTAATATCTTACGCAAACGTTACTCGATCGGTACCGTGCTTACGTTCTGAAATTACTTCTAATACTAAATCAATACCATTAACATCACAATCGGGTGCTATGGAGGTTTCACAATCTTTACAAGAAAAAACTAAGTACAAAGAGAAAAAGGAAAAAAAAAGCAAAATCAGAATGAAGTGTTTACAAACGATATATCTACAGAATCAGAAGAAGTAATTAATAATAATGATGATGATATAGAAAGTGAGCTCCAATCAAGAAAAGAGAAAAAAAGAGAGAAGAGAGAAGCTTAAATCAACTTTTAATTTTAGGCAGTTACTTTCTAAGTTATATGCTATATTTACAAATTCACAAGAACAACTAAAGAACAAAATGATTCAAGGAATGTCATTAATTATTGAATGGTTAGTACCGATGGTGGGGCATTGCATTTGGGCTTTGCCTTTTAAAAGCTTTTTTTAGTCAATATTGAATAGTAATTACAACATAAACATTTTTCAGTGGAACTCACATAGTATTAGGCCCAAACGCACGGAATTCGGTAATAGGAGAAAATTATATTGCTGCCATTTTTGAGACATGGTTGAATGCTGAAGTTATGCTTAAAATAAGTGGTTACAATGTTCACCGCAAGGACCGAGATGATTTGTATGGTGGGGTTGCTATTTGTTCACACAAGTCTTTAAAGACTCGGGTGATTTCTATCCAAATTTCTAATGCCGGAATTGAAATAATTTGTATTAAGATTTTTAACTGTACACGTATAGATTACATACTCTCTATATATTGTCCACCTACCATTGGAACTCAGAATGACTTGGATGAAATATTTTCTTTTAAAACTAACAAAACATTGATTCTTGGGGACTTCAATGGGCATCATCCAAGCTGGTCTTGTAAGGCTGATTTAAGAGGCACGAATATTTTTGACTCTTTAATTGAAAATAGTTTTGTTTCCTTGAATGATGGCACAGCTACTCGCGTTAAATTAGTAAACAGAATAGTACAGGAGTCATCCCCTGACATTTCTATTGCTTCTTCGGATTTAGCGTTGCAGTTAGATTGGAAGGTTACTAATGAGTCATTGGGTAGTGATCATTTGATTGTTAAGATTAATTTATCATATCACAATAGTCACCATCAATTTCTAAAGAAAAGGAACTACAAGAAAGCAAACTGGGATGGATATAGCTCATATTTAGAATATAAATTTTCAAGTTGTGCTTTTATCAATAATGATCCGAAGAAAAATTACGATTTATTTCTTAATATGGTCAATGAAGCCGCTGATGCTCATATTCCTTTTTACAGAACCAGCCAAGATCCCTCACAACATTTTTCTCCTAAAGTATATTGGAATACCATCTTATCTAAATCTGTTGCAGAAAGGCGCTTAGCTCTTGCTTTATTTAGGAAAAAATACTTAGATAAATTAAAAGATAAAATTAGAATTTCACAACTGCTAATTAGAAAGGCAACTAGAAAATCTTTCTCTAATTTTTGCTCTTCGATTGATGAGTCTATTACTGTACACGGCATGTGGCAAAAATAGAAGTGGTTAAAAGGTTATGGGTGTTCTAATACAGATATGAGTTATGTTGATCTAACAATTGCAAAGGAGCTTTTACACAGTTTGACTCCAGACTTTGTTTGTCCAAAAGAACCTTCTTTTTCATCTCGTAACACTGAAATTGACTCTCCTTTTTCAATTAGCGAACTAACGTGCTGTTTTAAAACAAAAGATACTTCTCCAGGTGTGGATAATATATCCTATTCCATGATCAAACATCTTCCCAAAAACGCATGTATTATTTTACTCAAACTATTTAATTTGTTTTACTCCCTAAGTTTTGTACCATTCCAATGGCGAGAAATACGTATTATACCAATCCAAAAAACAGGGCGTGACACTTCAGCTTTATCATCGCTTCGACCTATTTCACTTATGTCTTGCCTGAGTAAAATCTTCCATGCTATGTTAAGAAATAGATTGGAATGTTGATGGAAAATGAAATTCTATTTTACGAAGAGACTACTGGATTTAGCAAAATAAAATCATGCCTGGATAATCTTAGTAATTTAGTCAATAGAATACAATTGGGATTTTCAAAAGATCAAATCACAATAGGTTGCTTTATTGATGTAGAGAATGCGTACAATAACGTAGATATTACGGCTATGTTAGTAAATTTGGATCGATTAGGTGATGGTTCAAAAGTTTGTAAATATTTATGGACCTTCATAAAGGACGATACTTAAGTGTCCAGGTGGACAATTTTATTTTATCTAGATCTACAGGTCGAGGAATTTCTCAGGGTGACCCTATCGCTCCACTACTATTTAATATTGCAACTATTCATATTTGTAAACAAATTAATCCTAATGTATGTATTTCTCAGTACGCTGATGATTATCTGTTATATACTTCTAGTAAAAATTTACATGATACTTCCACTGAATTACAATTGTCCTTAAATAAAATGTATGGTTTGCTCATAGAATTATGTTTGGAGATTTCAATGACTAAAACAAAGATCTGTATTTTTTTTAAAGATATATGTAGGCAAGCTATTTCAGTAAGTGTTAATGATAATAAAATAGAAATAGTGAACACAGTCAAGTATTTAGGGATGTGGCTAGACCGGTCTTTGAAATGGAATAAACATATTACGGAGTTAACGAACAACATTTCTAGATTTTTAAAACATATTCAAAGTTTTAGTAGGACCTGGTTGGGGAATACATCCCAAGCATTTAAGAAGACTATACCGGGCGTTTTTTCATTGCCGTTATAAGAAGTAGGCTAGATTATGGGAGTTATTTATTCGATAAAAGCTGTCAAAAGTATTTAAGTATGTTAGACAAAATACAAAATCAGGCATTACGAATAATTGGAGGATTCATTAAAACTACTCCTATACATACAATGGATAGTGAGCTATGTCTACCTCCACTAAATGTACGAAGAACATTTTTGGCAGGTAAATTCATCTTAAAAGCTAAATCAATAAGAAATAACATCACACTAAAAATATTGAATAAATTAGCACATTTTAGAAACAATAAATATTGGTGTAATAAAAAGAAACCTTTATACTATTATCTGTTTATGATCACTTCGTTGATACCCCTCCCCTATTCACAGTAGTCAAAAATTAGAAATGTTTAATATAAGTACATGGGTCAGTAACATAGGTATAAATACATTGTTGATTTAAATATTCCGTGTATTGCACAAGCTAAACGAAATCACAACAATTTTAGTCTAAAAGTAATATGTTTGGACTACATTAATAGGCAGTATGAAAATTATTACAAAGTATCATACAATATTACAAAATACAATACAGACGGCTCTAAAGATTCAGGCGGAATCGGTGCAGCCTTTTTGGCCCACAATGTAATCTTAGTTTACAATTTAAGATAGATAGTAGTATATGCATCATGGAGGCTGAGCTAGTAGCAATATGTGAAGCACTGTCATACGCTACATCACTACCACAAGATAATATTGTGGTATTGACAGACTCAAGAAGCGCACTCCAACACTTGGCTCGGTGCACT